TTTATTCTGAGTCATACTGTAAAAGAGACTGTTTGATTTCAAACAGTGGACTTCACTACTGTCAAGCCACGTCGGATAAAATTAGACCACGACAGAACCCATTGGAGAAATATATATGAAGACGTTATATCTAATAGTGACATGGCAATAATTGTTTTCATTTGACAGCTATACATTGGAGTTGCTTTGATAAATTAAAATTGAAAAACGAAGAAAATGAAAAATCAGCCAAAACTTTGTTGTCAATAATGATTCATTTTTTATTTGAGACATCAAATAAATTTATTTTATTCTTTCAAAATGATAAATATAATAAATTTTACAAATAAATTACAATCAATTACTCACTTAAAATCATTGTTCTGAAAACCGTACCGGACCGGCCGATTCAACCGGTTGGACCAGGAACCGGCCTTCATTCCGGTCCGGTTTGAGCCTTCAAACCGCTATGCAGGAGAACCGGTCAAGAACCATTCGCACCGGTCCAAAACCGGTTGAACGGGGACCGGTTCGAATGGTTCACTGGTTCAAGCTTATGAATTTGAACTTAGTAGATTATAAAGTAGTTTAAATAACGCACCTTTTTTATTTGTATTTCCTATGTGAGATATATTTCCTTGCTTAAATTATTGGTCCAATATTGGGCCTAAAAAGTAAAATTGTACTCATTAAAAATATGTATTGTTTTTTGAAGTGGATTATCTATTGAGTTATCTATATCCCCAATTTTTTTTTTTTTTTTTTAAAAATAGAAGCAATTTATTTTATTGATGTTTGTTATGAACATTATTTTTATTTTTTATTTTTAATCAATAATAAAAACAATTTAAAATGTGATTTAAAATGAAAATTGGGTTGTTTCTATTCTCTCTATTTTGTAAATTAAATATAGATTAAAATTTTAAATATAAAACTAAAATAAGAAAAAATTAACATTATTCAACATTGTCGGTTATATATATTATTGAACTCATATTTAGAGAAATGTCATATACTATAAAACTAATAATAGATATATAATTATATATTATTCATACAAAATAAATAAAAAAATTATATATCAATTAAACCGATTCGACCGTTGGTCCGACCATTAAACTATTGAACCAGTAGCTTCACCGATTCGATGACCAGTTCGGTTTCCAGAACCATGCTTAAAACAATAACCACCTTTGCATTTAAATTAAGGATAGGTAACTATAGTTCACCCAAAGACAAACACACCACTAAAAAGAGACGCACACTCACCAAATGGGAATCACAAGAACTTCCAAAATGGGAGACATCGACAGTTTTCGCAGGTAACCCAAAAACCAGAAACACGACATAAAACACAATATTAAACAAGCAACAAAAAATAATAATAATAATAACAACAACATAACAAAACATTTATTAAAAAAAAAAAAGAAAAAGAATAAATTGTATGCACATAGGTGTGACTTTTCATATTCTTCAAAAAAAAAAAAAAATATATATATATATATATTATTGGTACTACTAAGTACAAGCCGGTTAACCGTTAAAAGTATAACACAATAGATGATGATGTAGCATACAGAATAGCTCGATAGACCGGCTTCAGCAAAAAGCTCGGCTAGACCAGTCTACGAGAGCTCCCATATGAACTAAAGTAAGCTACCCGGTCAAGTTTCTCCTATACGAGCTTAAGTAACTGACCTACATAGAAAAAATACAACCTGTAGGTGCCGACCTCCAAGAGCCCAATATTATAGTTGACTTGAGTTATCGAGGTCGTCTAGTCTGAAGACCTCTAGATGAGACCAGATTAGACCTCGAGACACGGTCAAGTTCGACCTCAGATAGGCCGCGACATGTGGGTTAGGAGGTCGAAGTTACGATCTAAGGACCTATGGGTTAAGAGTGTAAAAAGGGAAAGAATCCTAGTAAGAAGAAAATAATTGCTCGCTCAAGGACCTTGCCTAGAAAAAGACGCAGTAATTAAGGAAGTAGGGTCTGATTAGATCTCTTCCCTAACAAGGACTCTCTTGGACACCAAGATAATCTATATAAATGGACATGTTCTGCATCATGTCATATCGCATTCTACACCTTTACTTACATAATTCACAAACATACAGTTATTAAGCGAGTTCTGACTTAAGGGTCGGAGGTTTTTTCGTCCCCTCCTGGCGTTTTGTAGGTCACCGGAGCTCATGGACTGATTGTTCGAGGTGTAGGAGGTTGCGTTTTGTAGGTCACCGGAGCTCATGGACTGATTGTTCGAGGTGTAGGAGTTGAACCCCGTTCGTGACCAAAATTAACGTAACAAATGAGATGGCAGAAAATCTTGATAGAACTTCTGCAGTACCGAGCGATTAGAGCACCAAAGTAATATTTAATATTGAAAACATATATAAAATGTGTACAAAATATCGTATTTGAAAACAAAAAAAAAAAAGAAACAATTTTTATATTTAACAAATCAAAAAAAAAAAAAATAAATAAATCAATACTATTAATTTGTACTAAATCATTAAATACAAAATTGGAAATAACAAAAAGAAAACGAAGTAAAAAATATTATACTTATGTGTATTGTAAACTTCTAATAGTAGCAGTAAAAGAAAAAATAGAACACTTGGCATGATTTCTTTGAGTTTTAACTGAAGGCAAGATACACAAGAAATTAAAGCATTAGACTGAGTTACACATATATCAATCAGTGTCAAACTAATATATATGCAACCTATACTGTCCGTCAATGTATAGGATTTCATAATTTCTATACAAGTGCAGTTGTCCAAAGCACTAGCCTACCAAGCAAAAGAAAATATGACCGACGTGCCAGTCACTGTCCGGGTACTGCGTACAAGTCAATGGATTGTGTTAACGAGCCTTCAAATATTTTAATATAGCATAAGTAGGATTGTAAAATTTTAAACATATTTCAAGTTTTACTGCCACGTTTGAAGGGAAAACTGGACTGACATCTTTCACTATCTCAGAACACTACTTTTTATTCACAAATAGCACTCGAGTCTGGAACATTACAAATGCATTTCATTTAAACTTCCTCCTAATGCAACAAAATTTTAATCTCAGCAAGGACAACTGATTTAACTCTTTCCCATTGCAGAAAATTTCTTCTTCATTTTTTCAAATTTTACAATAGAATGTAGCAAAAAAGTCCACAGTAAATTAGTTGTGCTTGAGAATGGGCGCTCATCAATAAAAATTTTACAATCAAAACTTGACCTTTCAACAAAGGTTCAAAAGTCAGCTTCCGAAACTTTCAAGATATTTGATGTGAGAGGAAAAACACTGACAACATACTTATTAATGAGATGAGATAGCCAGATAGGAAACAACAAAATTATATAAGTTATAATTAAGCAACTTGTGTCCGAGGCCCCAACAGTTGGACACAAATAGTTATAAAATCATATCACAATCAACCAATACCACACACCAATATCAATCATTAAGCAACAAAGGCACAATAGTCAATAATGTGAACAAGACGAAAAACAATGTTGTGGCCATTACATAAAAAAAATAGATATAATTGAAATTGCAGACCAAGGCCAAGAGAAGGAAAAGATGGTACCCGAGAGAGATATGACATGTGGGGCAAGGCAAGACACTGGAGACTGGGTGATTGGATATAAGTTATTTTTGGTTTTGATTGTTTTTAAGTTTTTAGTGTAACTTTGAGTTCGTATTAAAAGAATATTTAAAATATAATGATTAAAGTTGATGTGATGTAAATGTAGAAGATATGTGATTGAAAGTGATGGTTAGTTAAAATGATGTGAGTTGATGAATAGTGAATTAGAAAGTTGATGCGATATGTAAAGATATGATTAATATAATTTAATTATATCGGTAATATTGAAAATAGTGGGGTTGATTTGAGTAAAATTTGAGTTAGATTTTTGAGTTAAAAAGTGACACCTAAGCAACACGTGTTGAACCATTATCTCGTGGATTTAAGTCAGGCTTTTACAACTTTGATCAGGAAAGAAACTTTTAGCTCATTATAACCATCATTTAGCATGAGATGACATTTGAACCTTATGACAAAGCATAGAATAAACTGAAACTTCCATATCGTAGGCTTCCTTGCAAATTCGTGAACAAATGTTTAGAAAGCAGTTACATTTTGTAGGTAGAAAGTAAAAACTGCAGACCAAGTATTACTAGTGAACTGTTGAATTGAGGATATAGTTAATAGCAAGCCAGTCAAAACAGAAGAAGACTTGTCTTCCATCCACTAATATAGAAATCATACCAGAAACATGTTCCTAGAAATTTCAAGAGACCATAAAATGCGAGTGTGCTAAACTATGGCTAACCAACATCTCCAAGCTAGAACGAATAACAAAAATTTTTTGATCAAGATAATGGATGTTCAATGCTGATTCTATAATGCCATAACTCTTATTGCTGGAACATGGTTAGAATATCAAAGGCTACCGTTAAAGCTACTACTAGCATTGGAGGCACAAGATTAGGCTATTCATTCTTAGTCGAAAGTCTAACTACCTTTTGCTTAGTTAGGGGGTAGCTAATGACACTACTATAGCACTATTGGAAAAGCTTCTCGGTTTTCTAATGGTGAAAAAGAAAACACGCATTATTTCCCTTCACATTGACTATATTGATCTGAAAACCTCAAAAGACTGCTCTCACTACTACACAAAATGACTAGGGCTACTCCAATAATTTTAAGTTTTCAATATTAATCAGCAGTCAGGAAAAAAATTAATGTCTATACTACTCAGCTGTCAAAGTTCTCCACAATTATGAATAATATTTCCAGTAAGTTCATAGAAGTCCCAGCATATCAATAATTAAGAAAAAAAAACAAAAAACAACAAGATAGGCAGATTGTTTAACTATCTGCTCCAGACACCAAATTCCATAACGGCAAAAAAAACCCGTTCTTTCAAAAAAATCCGCAACACATATAAACCCTCCGAATGTATAAACCAGAATATGAAGAATTCAATGAAAAGTTAGGATTCTGGAACTCACTACTCGTCCAATTGTTGGAGCTCAGCTTTCAATTGCTCGATCTTCAGCCCCATAGCCCTCTGTATTGCAGCCCTCTCGCTCTCCGCAAGCTTATTCAACAACCCTTCGTACAGCTCAAGAACTTCACTAACAGCTACGCGAGCACACTCAGCTTCCTCGTTAAAATACACAGTCTCCTTGGACTCCATGGCCGATTCGATCTCCTCTCTAGCTTCCGCGAACTTGAGGTTGATTTTATCCACCTCCTTGTCCGTCTCGACGCTGTATTGCTTAGATTGTTGGAAATATTTGAGTGCGTATGTACCCGCTGGACTGTAAGAATTTGGGGTTTTTTTGTGCGGAGAGAATTGGTTTGAGAAAGTTGCGAGAGATTTTGTTATAAATTGAGATTTGATCTGAGGAGAAATCAGAAAATAGGGTCTGCGAAGTAGCTTTTGCAGATGAGTAAATGAGCGGTGAAGCATTTTGCAAATTGTGAGAGCAGAATAGAGAAAAGGTGAACTCAAAATCCAGTGAGAATGTAAAGCGAAAATATACAATCAAGCGAAACATTAATGGGCTTCTAGTTCTAGTGCTGCAACCCACGACAATCCCCATTTATTTGGGAAATTTTTAGATCTGCTAGGTGATTTAAATTAATTGCAACTGCACCATACAACTAGAAATAATTGTGTCTCTATCTAAAAGACTTTATTTATTATATTAATGTTTAAAGTCAGTTACAATATCCTTTCAACCTTCATCCCCTTTTTATGGGTTTGATACGGCCATTAGTAGAGGTTCACCTTAGACCGGTCGTGGTCTGAGTTTAGTCACAGTTATATTAGGAAGAAGCTAGGCACATGGGAGCTAGGCGAGGACTAGCTAGGCGAGGACCAACCAGACAAGGACTAGCTAGGCAAGGACTAACTAAGCGAGGTACCAAAGGTTGGTAAACTAGGCGGAATACCAAAGGTTGGTAAGCTAGACGGATGTGCTCGCCTAAGTGGCTTGGCGCTTAGGCACCTAGGTAGCTCGACGTATAGGCATCTCGGCACCCTGGCAGCTCGACCAGAGGGTCCTGTCGAGGGGACCAGAGCCTAGAGGTGGCTTTATGACCAAGTCACAAGGAAGTTTGTAGCGATGAGGACTCTAAAGATTTGAAATATCTAACCTAATTTAGAGGTAGACATGAGGAAGACTTAGGGTCCCGACAAGAACTCTTCGGCCTATACATGACCTCAGCTATAAAAGGACAAGTTTATTCATTTTACACAACACACATATGCATTATCTCGATACTCTGTCGTTTTCTCTCTCGAATACACCACTGACTTGAGCATCGGATTGTCCACGCCGGGACCACTCCCGACGTGTTTTGCAGGTACTGACGATCAAGGAGGCTCAACCGGATTCGAGCGGTTTGAGGAATTGTGGCATAACAAATTGGCATCGTCTGTGGGAAGTCTCAGTATTATACTGGAGTATCAGAGGTTGTTCTTTCTCACTATAGAAAAAGAAGAGCGACAAGGATCATGGCAGGAGATAACTCGAAGAAGAACCTAACAAAGGAAATGGAAGCGCATGGACTCATAGGGCTTTTGAAACAGGACCCCCGCCGGGATGGTCGTCGCTGCCTGCTACCCCCAAAGAGACGTTGTCGGCCCCTAGCATGACCTTGACACCGGCACCAAGAGCTCAGAGGCACTTGGCGAACCCAGGAAGATTGGGTGGTCTGACAAACAAGGGGAAGGGCTAGGCACCCTAGTCGATGGGGGAGTGAACCTGGTCGTTTTGGGATCTGGGAGTAGCGGTGGTCAGAAGGGCTCCTTCGATAACATACAGGTGGTCGTGATAGAAGGACAAAACCCTCCGAAGGATAGGATCATTGCTGAGGCGATAGGCCGAGCTCAAGAGGTCGATAGGAGAGCCCGTACTGAATCGTTTCGGCAACGTCCATCACAACAGCCACTTGTGCCTCAACAGCAGCACCAGCGTCTGGTGAGAGGCGATGATGATGATACCATATCGGTGACCTCCTGCCCAGCTATAACGACACAGCCGAATGGATTAACCTTGGAGAGGTTGGCAGCGCAGATGCGTGAACTACAAGTTTGGGTTAAGGGTAAGAGACCCATAGTATCACGAGGACATCTTTTCGCAGAGGATGTCTTAATAAAGATTTGCCTAGCAACTTCAGGGAGTTGAGTTTTGTCGTATGATGGATCAGCAGACCCAATTAGGCATTTGAGATCGTTTGATAACATAGCCGTGATGCAAAGGTATATCGATGTTGTAAGTTGCCGAACCTTTTTGACAACGTTAAAGGGGTCGACGCATGATTGGTTCCACCAGCTAGCAGCTCTCTATTTCTGAATCAATTTGCAAGTGCGAATAAGCACGAGAAGACATATTTGTCGCTAATCAACATGCATCAGAATGAGGGATAAACTCTGTGGCAATACGTGGCCCAATATAGGGGTGAGCATAGTGTGGTTCGGTGCAAAACCGCAAAAATACGAAAACCAAAATTTTTTATTTCCCCAAACCGAATCGCACCGAAACATGTAAAAAAACTGAACCTAAACCGCACCGAAATTTTTGGTTTGGTGCGGTGCGATTTTGGTTAACCGCAAATTTAAAAAAAAAAAACACACCCTAAATAAAATGAAACTACATCATCATCATCTAATGTGAAACATTACCAAACCAAAAGCAAAAAATTTGAACTTAAAGTTAAAAAACTAAGGCAAAAAATTAGATTTTAATATGATGTTATTAATTTTAATTGTTATATTTATTACTTTACTTATTTAATGTTAATGTTAGTCATCCCAAACCGAAGGTCCAAAATGAGCACGTATATGTACAATACATACATGTTAACATATTTCGTATTTGTAAAAAATATATATATATATATATATATTCGGTGCGGTTCGGTTAACACCACATCATTCGGACAAAAAATCGAACCGCACCGAAGTTTGTGCGGTTTGTCAAAATGTTAACCGCACTGAAAACCGAACTTTAAAAACTCAAACCGATCCACACCGAATACATCGATTCGGTTCGATTTTCAGTTTCGACTCGGTTTTGCTCACCCCTAGCCCAATACACTAAGGAATGCGTGGAGGTCCCTAGAGCTTTAGAAGAAATAAAGGTGTTGGGATCTATGAGGATCTCGTTCTGTACAAGTCACGAACTAAATAGCAAACGTAAACCTATGCGCAACGGATCTAAAGGTTTGACGTAGAAAACTTATGGTTTAAAATTTATGACGATCTGGCTTATCTTCAAAGGGATGACCTGGATGAACACACGAACAAGTTGGATCAATCGAGAGGGGGTCGGGTCGATCGGGTCGTGTGTCGGGGCTGTCGGGCACGCCGAGATGTCTGCGGGTCGCGTCGCAGCGTCGGATCTCCGCGGGGAAGGCGCGTCGCGGGCTGGCTGGTGGCGCTTGGTCGTCCAGCTGGCTCGGCTAGTCACGGTCGGCGGTCTCGGGCTCGGGCTCGTGGATCGTCGACTTGGTTGATAACGGGGTTGATTAAATATATGTATCTCAATAAACCACGAGATCTTCTACTGTATATCTCAATCACCCATCTTCAAATTGTATCAGTGGAGCAACAAGAAGAAGATAAAGCTCGAATGAGAACTGAGAGAGAGAGAGAGGGAGAGGGAGAGACGATGGGGGCAGCCAAAAATATGTATGTGGAATTATGTTCCAACTCTTCTATTGAGGTTAATGGTGTATATATAGAGCTACAGTAGGGACCTTAGGAGATCAGGAATATGACTCCTTAATTAATTAGAACTTGTGGGTCAAACCCACTTATCTTAATTAATTAAATAATATTAATAGGCTACCAACATAATATTATTGCACTCCATTTTCTTAGCCCAATTTACAATTGAGACTCCAATAATAATTACTCGAATTATCTCCCCATGTTTAAGATATAATTGTTAGAGTAGGATACCCGGCGTTCCAATCAGATTGGACGTATTCTACTTGTAAATACAATCTATTGGAATTATATTAAATAATAAGACATTACTTTATTTTAAGAGTAAGCATTTATCATATATTTGCACTTAAGATAAAATCCCTAGATCACTTATAGCTATAAGATATGGTTGCGCATAGAGATGGTGATCATGGAACATATCTTGAAAGTTGTGATCTTAAATACAGTTCCAAATCGTTGGATATTTTGAGATGGGATATCGAATAAATCTGGAAAAGACTTGCACATAGTATGTATGCTTATTGGATAAGAAGGTTGCATTCCATCAACATTAGCGTGGGACGCAAATACATATATGTGGGTGCTTGTTAGAGAACAAGTTCACTGAACATGACCGTATGAAAATTCTTAATGAAAGTTTATC